GAACTATCACAGTTGTCCTATTTGGGTAATTTGCGTAATTCCTTCGTTTTGTTGTGTCCCAGTAGCTGTGTACACTTCATGGTTGCAATAATGGCACCAAGTATGCATTAACTGTTTGATGTAATGAATGTGGCAAAGGGTGTCTTGAAAATTACTAATGTCCTGCTTTTGCTGAGCTTTTTGAAAGTACTGAACTTGGTTGTTTGGTTATTTTGCTTCAAAAGGATAGTGCTTATTTGGTTGTGTATGTTGATAAAGGGTACTTGTTCTTCAGTGAATCCTACACTTCTACATGTTCATTTACTTTCATCCACATTGGATACCCTCTCTCACTCTCTCTCTCTCTCTCTCATAAAATTATCTTTCTCTACCATACTCTGTATATCAGCTTGTGATATTTCTGGATTTTTACAGGTCTTGTGAGCCAGGAAGCATTGAGGTAGCAAAGATCTTATACAGCCTTTATTCTGTGGCAGGAGGGTAGTTAAAATATGCAGACCCCAAAGGGAAGGTAAGCTTTATGAATCTTATCTCTTCCCCTTCCCTTTAAATGCTGTTTGGCAAGTTGCTTGGTGGATGGAACTTATGGACCTGTTTTGTTCTTTGCAAGAATTTGGTAAAAATCATATGGTGGGTTCCACCAAGGATTTGGTATTCCCTCTTTGATTGGTAAAATTGTAATCACTTGTCACGTTAAATGTCTATTTGTGTATTCAATATCGAAAGGGCCCATTGGTTGAGGTTGATAGTTTACTCTTAAATGTGTTGGAAATTGGTGCCTCTATTGTGTTTTAAACTTCTCCTGCTGTTAATTCATTGGCTTTCTCTTAATTCTGTGATATAATATCATACATCTGTTATCCCACATTTTTGTCTGTCCATCAATATCTGAGAACTAGAATTTGTGGGAAGATTTTAAACCGAGTTTTCTTGCTTTCAGTATCACACAAAAATTTAGCATTTTTTTTTTGTCTTGGGGTGCTATAGGGCACTCTTACTGGGGCCAGCGGACGCATTTTTGGAAGCTTGGGGGTCTATGCTTAGGCAATTTACGCTATACTTATTTTTCCTCTTTGCTGAATTTTGAATAATTTTGTCATCTACTGTAGATCATGTGGTCCTCTAGTTCCTTGGTATTATATTTGTGGATTGTTTACATACGTTAGCTTAACATGGATGGACTGGGATTCAATTTTTCTATTGAGTCCTAATATTTTTGCCTCCCTAGTGATAGTTTCTTTTCCTTTTCTTTTTGATGAAGACGATTCATTGGTTTTGATTCTTTTGTGACTGAAAATAACCGCCCTTTAATACACCATATAAGAAGATTATAGAAGGTTTACCTGCCTAGACACTTCTGACTTCTTGAATGCAGTATCACGTTGAGTCATCTGGAGCATTGCAAATAGAAACTTCAGATTTGTTAAAGCGTCTTGTGTTAGTCCTTTCCTATTCCAGCTAAAGTACTCATTATTGGACGACCATTACTAAACAGTTTGCAATGTTTGCACATTAGACACAATCCTGAATACTGATACCAATTTATCATGTATTGCCAAATTTCTTTGTAACTTTGCGGTAGTTTGATGGCAACTTGCTTCCTAATTTCAACAATATTGTCGGTCATGTAATATCCTATTTGTACTTAACTCTTGTTCACTAAAAAACTTGGTAATAGTGCCTAGGACGATTTATTTCCCAAGTTTGTAGGATTGACTCCTGTTGGAGAACTGCTCCGACACCAATTAATTTGCTTGCCATCCAAAAGGTGGCCAACCTGGTGCATGCTACGACAGATTGCAAGCCAGAATACAGTGGATCTCAGTTGTCCTCATGATTTAACTTTCATTTGAAAATGATTCTTTTGTTAGTTTCTGATGATTCCTGATTTTTCGAAATAATAGCTGACTACTTGACTGGTTTTGGTAGCAGAAGCAGTTCTTCAGAAATGCCTCAAAAGATCTCTCCTCGAACAGTTTCTGTTGAAGTGCCCCAAAAGATTTCTCCTCAGGCAGTTTCTTCAGAAGTGCCTCAAAAGATTTCTCCTCGAGTTGTGCGTCAACTGAAGACAACTGCATTGGAATCGGAATCTTCATCTGCTTCAAACCAAGCTAGTAGGACACCAAAAGACAGAAGCCCTAAAGTGAATGAACGCAAGTCACCCAGAAGCCCAGTTCCTGAGGTAAACTAAATTACAAAAACCCACCAGCCTTGCATCAGTTTGCAGCGAAGTAGGTGTCGCAAATTATCTGAGTTTATCTTGGTGCTGGCAATGTAAAAGGCTAAGCATTTAGGCCCTCGTTGTAAAAGTTTAGTATCATGCTTTGTGCACTCGTGCAGCACGTTCCATTAAAGTCGGCTATAAAGGCTTGCATGAGTCATTGTAACTAGGTTTCTTAACCCATCCAAACACACAATACTGCACCGTGGCAATGCATCCAGTTTATATTTGCTTTTTTGTTGGATGATGTATAGGTCAGGGAGATTTTTTCTTTGGGAAAGAGGTTAGGGGTATGTTAGAGTTACTGTTTTTAATAAAAAGGGAGGACCAGGTATGCCTATTCTCAAACATGGTGTACCATTTTTTGTATCCCCTCCTACTTTCACTAACAGTCACATACAGTCCAGCTTTAGTGCTCGGTCATCCGTCAATCAGGTTTTCTAAGCCAGCTAACCGATGCACGTTATTTTAACATTAGTTTGTATTACCATCACGTAGTAAGTAGTTTCTGCCTACTACTGTTTGCATATATTGCTCAACTTTCACATGCCTTTGAAATTTTGTGCACATTGGGTGTGGCATGAAATTCCTGAACATTATCTTTCTTCTTGCAAGATGCAGAAGAAGCGCCCAAGCAGAGTTGCTGAGCTGGAATCTCAGATTTCTCAACTTCAAAATGATTTGAAAAAGGTGAAGGATCAGCTGAGTTCATCAGAATCATTGAAGAAGCAAGCCCAACAAGAAGCAGAGGAGTCAAAAAAGCAGCTCTCAGCCCTATCTTCAAAGCTCGAAGAGTCCAAGCAACAGCTTTTGGAGCGGTCTGCTTTTGAGGATGTTAGTGTAATTGAACTCCAAAGTATCTCCAAGGAACAAGACCAAGCATGGGAATCCAAGCTTGAGGCTATCCAGAAGCAGCATTCAGTTGAGTTAGGTGCTTTGGCCTCCGCTTTGGATGAGATTAAGATACTAAAAGTCCAGCTTGAAATGTTAGCTGAATCTGAGGATGAAAAGTCCAAGCAAGCAGAATCTACCCATGCTGAACTCCATAGCTTGAAAGAAAACCTTGCAGAGACCCTTTTGCTTTTGGAAGACATGAAAAACCAGCTGAGGGATTGCAAAGATTCGGAAGCTCAGGCACAGGCACTTCTTGGTGAAACTATGCTTCAGCTGGAAACAACCAGAAGGACTGTAGAGAACCTCAGGTTGGATGGTATCAAATCCAAGGAGGCCTATGAAGCCATAACTATGGAGCTGGACCAATCAAGGGCACACGAAAACATGCTGGAACAACTTGTAAACAAACTTAAGGATGATAACACTAATGCTGGCAGCAATATTTACTCGAATTGTGAAGGTGATCAAAACCACGAATCTGAAACCATAGAAACTGAAAAGACTGGAAAACCAATTGAAGCAGAGCTTAGTTGCATGAACTCTGAAGTACAACGACTAAGATCTGCTCTGGAAGCCAATGAGATCAGATACCATGAAGAAAAAACTCAAAGCACAGTGCAGATTAGAAGTGCTTATGAAATAGTAGAGCAGATAAAATCCACATCGAGCCTGAGAGAGGGTGAGCTGGAGGCAGAACTAAAGAAATCCAAAGTTGATATTGAAGAGTTGAAGGCAAACTTGATGGATAAGGAAACTGAATTGCAGGGTATCTGCGAGGAAAATGAGGATTTGAATATGCGGCTGGAGAATGCTCTGTCAGGCAATAGAGAGTTTGAACTTGAAAAGGAGCTCAAAAAATTGAAGGACGATGTTGAAAATTTAAAAGCGAATTTGATGGATAAGGAGACAGAATTACAGAATCTTTCTGAGGAAAACAAGATACTAAAGTTTGAAACTGGAAACGGTGAAATGAATAACGGGGGTAAAGTGAGTGATGAGGTTGTTATCGACTTAGAGGCTGCAAGGGCTGCAGAGCGAGAGGCTCTCATGAAGCTCGGTTATGTGATGGAGGAAGCAGATAAGAGTAACAGGAAGGCAGCACGAGTGGCCGAGCAGTTGGAGGCAGTGCAGGCAGCAAATTCTGAAATGGAGGCCGAGTTAAGGAGGCTGAAGGTGCAGTCTGACCAGTGGAGAAAGGCCGCGGAGGCAGCTGCAGCTATGCTTTCAACAGGAAACAATGGAAAGTTTATGGAGAGAACTGGGTCAATGGACAGCCACTATAGTCCTATGGCAGGGAAGATTGGTTCACCTTATTCCGAAGACATAGAGGATGAATTTATCAAAAAGAAAAATGGGAACATGCTGAAGAGGATTGGGGTCTTGTGGAAGAAGCCGCAGAAATAGAAGCACGGCCACGAGGTCACCTATATATTCTGTAACTATTTTTTATTCTGTAGTTCCAATTATGCAATTATATATACCTAATCACATTGTTTCTTCTCCTCACAGATGTCATCCTACGCGACAAAAGCAGACTTTTTTTTATAAGAAGATATTTGTGTGCCTAGTGCACTTCTGCAATGCTCCTAGTAGTAATGTGGTAGCTGTAATTTTGAACCTTGTCCTTTTCCCTTTTGCCACAATGTATTAACTTAATTTTACCCTATGATAATATGCAGTTATACTGTCCTTTTGATTATGCAAAGTTAATTTTAGACTTTAAACATCTCTGTTGTAAACAATCAGCTGTTCGCTACTTACTACAAGATGTTTTTTTGGTTGAAGTGTTGTGAATTCTCTGAAGTTATATACTTGTGTTTGATCCTATCAGATGCAATAACCGATGTCTGCTCTGCTTAGAATCTTTTGTTCACTCTGCTTGGCTTAGAGCGATTCAACCCATGAGGGTGGAACCTTGCTAGATTGTTAGGTTGTGTTCATTTCAGGTTTACTGTTATCTTATTATAGATAGAGCTGGTTGGAAAATTGTGGCCCTTAATTGTGTGCCGTTAAAATCAAAGGTAAGACATTGACGTGAGATAAATTTTTCATGATTTGACATAAGGGATAAATGGATTGTCTTGGACGAATCAAATCCCAAAGTCAAATTCTCAAGAAACTTGAAGGCGAACATCACTAGCTCAATCCTAGCATGGTGCTTTTAGTAAAGGTCAAGATCTTAAAGGGAAAAACTAACAAAATTGTTTATATTTCAATTATTTAAAAATGTAAAAATATTTTATCAATGCAATGCTAGGATTTTCATTAAAATTGATGGTATTTAGAATAATTTTTAACCAAGAGGTCAGACAAGAATGTCTGGCTAAGAAGTCGGGAAAGACATGCAGAGCTCAGGTCAGAGCTGGAGTTTCCCTCCCAGACGCACAAACAATGAAAATAATAAGGAAACAATTGGATGATAACAGAAACTTGTTAGGTGGTAAAAAGTTACATTCGAGGCATAAAATCCTTAACTAGCCAAGATTCTCTCATAAGATCAAGGAGAGTTCCTCGGATAAATAACAAGGATCTTGGTGCAGATCCCATAAAACTAGGAACAACCTTATAAGTATTATGTAACTCTCCCAAGACAGGGGAGAGACTCTAGTAACGTATACTCTATCCTATAAACTTTTTGAATAAGAAGAAAAGGAAAAAAGAGCAAGAATCTTCATTAAAGAGTGAATTAGCCGAGCAGCTGAGCTGTTGAACCACTATAATTCTATTGTGTCAATCCCCCAATTCACCATTTTTGCTAATCATCGCTCTTTTGAACCTTGTAGCTCTAATCCTAAGACAACCAGTTGCTAATCATCTCACCTGCTCACCACCATAAATTTACTTCACGTTAATTTACACCATCAAAAACAAAAACTACAAATCGCAAATTGAAAAATCAATAAAAAGAAAAGTCATTGGCTACCAAGTGGTATATCCAATGTTTCAACAGATTTTTTATATTTTAACGACTTCTTTTAAATATTATTTTTGATATTTTGTACTTTTATTGAGACTATTAAAAAGAGAGAAAAAAAATGGAGGAAAATATAGGGGACATTTGGCTTCTCTGGGATCCATCTAACATCTCCATCAACACGAAGGGTTCATCTAAGCAAATTATTCATGCTACAATCGCTAGAGTGGATTTTGATGAATGGTTATTCTTCGCTGTCTATGGAAGTCCCAATGCTGCCTGTAGAGATCAATTGTGGGATGAGCTCAGTTGTACAGGGGATAGATATAGATGCTCCTGGATGTTGGCTGGAGATTTCAACGACTTCTCCAGCCATTCCAAAAGAAGAAGGAGATTGGTGAATAATACAAGCAGGATTAAAAAATTTAAAGACAGAGTGAACAACTGCGGCCTCATTGATCAGGGATGTAGTGGCCCCAAACTTACTTGGAACAATAAGAGGAAATGTCTTGCAAATACTAAAATAAGATTGGATAGAGCCTTGGCGAACTCTAATTGGACTATGCAATTTCCTGAGGCCAGTGTGAGGAATCTTCCTAGAACCTATTCATACCATTGTCCAATGTTGATCCAGATGCAAGGTATGTCTCTAACCGCTCCTTCATTTAAACCATTTAGACTTGAAGCTATGTGGCTATCTCACCCTGACTATAAAGATCTGGTTGCTAGTACCTGGGAATCTAATAATTTCTCTCTTCTTAAAGCCTCTGCTAATTTTGGGATTATTGCTACTGAATGGAACAAAAATCATATTGGTAATTTGTTTAGAAGAAAAAGAAGAATCTTAGCAAGGTTAGAAGGTATTCAAAAAGCCCAGGATTCACACTATTCGCATAACCTGACTAGACTAGAGGAAAAACTCCAACATGAATATAACCAAATTTTGGAACAAGAAGAAGTCTTATGGTACCAAAAGTCCAGGTCAAAATGGATCACTTGTGGGGATAAGAACACTAATTTCTTTCATGTTTCCACAATCACTAGAAGAAAAAAAAAGCAGACCACAAACAATCAAAGACTTGGAAGGGAATTGGCTAACAAATTCGGAGGAGATAGCTAGGGTTGTTCAGGAGTTTTTCTATAATTTGCTTGGAACTGAAAACATTGCCCCCTACCCTCAGAAGGTTTTTAGGTTCCAAAATAAACTGAGTAATGAGGTTAAAGTTGCCTTGGAAGCTCTTGTTTTAAATAATGAAATTAAACATGTTATTTTTAACATGAAACCCATGAAAGTTCCAGGTCCGGATAGACTTCAAGCCTTGTTCTTTCAAAAATACTGGGATATTGTTGGTAATTCTGTGTGTACTCTTATTAAGGACATGATAGGTAAAAGAGTTTGCCCAAGAGACCTTAATAAAACCTGGGTTACTCTTATATCTAAAATTGATAATCCTACGCAGATCAATCAATGTAGACCCATCAGTTTCTGTAATGTCCCTTATAAAATTTTGATTAAACTGTTGGTAAGTAGACTTAGACCTTTCCTGGATAATCTAATCAGCCCTAACCAATGTAGCTTCATCCCAGGTAGACATATTGTTGATAATGTCATTATAACTCAATAAATCATCCACTGTTTAAGGAGGAAAATAGGGAAGAGTGGGGGAATGATCATTAAAATTGATTTAGAAAAAGCATATGATAGAGTCAACTGGAGGTTCCTTTATGATACTCTATTAGACTTTAATTCCCTCAGTCTTGGATTGATATCATCATGAGTTGTGTTACAGGATCTTCTCTCTCCATTCTTTGGAATGGCTCTCCCATGGATTTTATTAAATCTAAAAGAGGCTTGAGACAAGGGGATCCTCTATCCCCTTATTTATTTGTATTGTGTATGGAACGCTTGGGGTAACTTATTCTTGAAAAAGTCCAAGAAGGCAAATAGGTTAGTTTGAAAAGCTTCTAGGAAAGGACCTCAAATTACTCACTAATTTTTTGCTGATCATATTATTTTGTTTTTAAGAGCCACTAAAAGAGATTGCCTAATGATAAAGAATGTGCTCGAAGATTTTTGCTCTTTGTCAGGTCAGAAAATTAGTCTTAATAAATCAAAAGTTTTCTTTTCCCTGTATATTAGTAAAAGTCATGCTTTTTTTCTTAGTAAGAAATGTGGTGTTTCTCTCACTGATGATCTTGGAAAATATCTAGGTGTTCCTATTTTTCATAAAAGATCTTCTAAAGAGCACTTTAAGTTTATCATTGAGAAAATCCAAAATAAACTCAGTGGGTGGAAAGCCAAGTCCCTTTCCTTGGCTGGTAGAACCACCCTTGTCAAGTCTGTTACTTTTACTCTCTCGAATTATGTGATGTAAACCATTTGGCTTCCTCAAGCTACCTGTGACCAAATTGATAGATTGAATAGAAACTTTCTATGGGGTGACACACCTGTTAAAAGGAAGGTTCATCTGGTAAATTGGGATAGGGTGTGTTCCCATAAGAAAGATGGGGGGCTGGGATTAAGAAAGAGTAGGGAGAATAACTTAGTCCTGTCAACTAAACTGGGTTGGAAAGTTAAAAATAGAGAGAAAGCTCTTTGGGTTGATGTGGTTAGCAGTAAATATGTTGATTAGAGGGACCTTAACTGGAACCTCAAGTCTGGTTGTTCACCAACTTGGAAAACAATAGAAAAGACTAAAAATATCGTGGATATTGGTTTTAAATGGCTAATAGGAGATGGGAAATATCTTAACTTCTGGACTGACTGGTGGTGGGGTAAGGGCTCTCTTGTGCAGCAGGTTATGCATCTAGAGTTTCTGAATCTCAACAAGAAAGTGGCGGATTTCATTGATGACAGTGGTAATTGAATCCTCTAGGAGGTAGGTAATTTTCTTCCCCACTCTATTATTCTTGAGATTTTACAATCTCCATGTCTATTATCTGCTCAGTTTCAGGATAAGATCTGTTGGGATTTATCGAGCAATGGTAAGTTCTCTACTAAGGTTGCTTTTGATCTTATTTCTATTCCTAGTTCTAGTTGGTCCCCTTCTCTTCACTGGAATTGGATATGGGAGTTAAATCTTCCACAAAAGATAATTTAGTTTTTGTGGACTATTCAACATGATAGGCTTCTCACAAATAATCTTAGAGTTTCAAGAAACATGGCTAGTGACGCTTCCTGTACTAGATGTCACCACTCGACTGAAACATCCCTACATGTTATCTTTGAGTGCCCCAAAGCACAAAGAGTTTGGAATTTTTTTGATCTGACCCAAGGAGAGGATGTTAATTAGCTAGGGGGGCTTTAGAGTTGGATCCTCTTAAATTTTAAACTAAGAAAGAATAAGGAATGAAAAAGAATTAACTGGCCCACCATGTGTGCATGTGTCTCATGGTGTATATGGAAGGATAGGAATAGGGAAAGTATTGCGAACAATTCCACGCTTCCTAGATTAGTTGCTAGGGAAGCATGGCTCCAAGCCTTGGACACTGTCAAGGCTTTCCAAAATTCTCTTTATGATTCCTAATTGTTCTCCTTGTTTTATTGCATGGACATTCCCCCACACAGGCTGGAACAAACTGAACACGGATGAATGCTCAAAAGGAAATTTTGGTCCTGCTGGAGTGGGAGGAGTTATCAGGAATGATCAAGGGAAAATGGATTGCGGGCTTCTAAGGAAAGATGGAGGATTCAACAAGCCTATAGGCTGAATTATGAGCAATTCTCAAGGGGTTGGAGCTGGTGCAAAAGAGAAACATCACTCGTATCACTGTGAAAACCAATTCTATTGAAGCTGCTAAGCTTTTGTCCAAGGACCCAGAAGACACTCATCCCAACTGACTTGTCATTTTACAATGTAGAAGACTCATGGAGTTTAACCAGATACCCATTGTCCATACCCTTAGAGAAGGAAACCAGTGTGCCGATCTATTGGCTAATCTTGGGGTCCAACAGCCTGATACTTTTGTGGAGTTGGAGGAGCCCCCTCCCCAATTGGCTAATTTTTTGTTAGCAGATATGATCAATGTTGCATTTGCTAGGAACTCTATTTAATGTCTTATATATATATATATATATATATATATATATCTTTCCGATGTACCCAAAAAAAATGATAAGAGGAGAGAGAATATATTATAAACTATTTATATATAATATCACAGTGTTACTCTATATTTAGAGTATCACTGTAGCAAAAATGTATTTTATCTATTTTGAACATCTTCTGTTGAACTATGTTTTTTGTCTTTGAATAGTTAAATTTTAACTATTTTAGAGTATTAACTAATCTCTTGAAGATGCTCTTAATGATGTAATTTATTGTGTTGTAAATCACTATAAATTCAAGTAAGACTTGTTTAACCGTAATTAACTTATTTTAAAACCCTTAGACCATTTCGGATCCTTATTCTTTTGTAAACTCAAATTTATATTTGGGTAAAAAAATTTTAAAAATCTTCTCCAATACTAGACCCATACCCATATCAAATGAAAGAAAACTCATTTTTTAAGTCAAATTCATACTCAAATATTTAATTATGATATTACACAATTCTTTAAAGATCTAATCAAGTTTGAATTTCTTTTCTTTTAAATTTAAATTGTTCCATTGGAGAAGCCTATACCAAATCAAGTTTTTTTTTTTTTTTATCTTTTTTAGTCAAATTTGGGTTAAGATTTGAGTTTTTACTGGAGATCATCTTTTGGGGTGGTTCGACGGTTGAGCCTAATCTTTGATGATTCAGAGATCTCAAGTTTAATCATTTTTCTTATTTCTTGAAGGTTAATCACTCTTATTTCTTTAGAGACATACTATAATTTAACTTAAGCTATGGTGATCAACTATTGAACTCAAGAAAATAATCGACCTAAGTCCAGACATCTAAAAAGAAAAAATTAACTTTTTGTTTAGTATAAATTTGTGATTCACATCGAAGAAAATAGACTGGAAATTATTTGGGTCCATGATGTAAAAAAGAAGGAAAAGTGTTAAAATACTAAGGTTGGGGAAGAGTCAAAAATCACAAAAAGTAGGGGAGTTTTCTGTAAATTAAAACAGAAGACTACTACAGGGCATCCCCTTTTTTAAAGTCTCTTATTTTAGGGTTTCATCATCATCGCCACCGTAGCAACCAGAACCACCTCTCTTTCGACTTCGAAACTCTTTAGCCTTCCCTCACAGCCGAAGAGCCTCTACGTTCCACAAACATGGGGTACGAACCCTCTCTCTCTCTCTCTCTCTGAATCATATTGTGTGTTCTCTTACGGCTTGCGTCTCCGATTGTTTCGACAGAAAGTAGTTCTCAGGAAAGTTTTCCCGAGAAAAAAAGAAACTGAACTTCAGCATATGATTTGTGTAGGATTAGTAGCGAAATAGGGATTTTGTATTTGTTACTTGTCTTGAAAATAGTACTTGAAATCCAGTCCATCTTGGCAAAGCTGAGGAGCCTTAATAAAGGGCAATGGACAGCTTTGAATGCTAATGGACTTACATCAAATGTCTTCTCTAAACTTTTCTGGGCTTCTCAAACTCGGTGAAGTTGCAGATCAGTGGAGATGAAACATGATACGTATGTATACAACTTGTGATTTCTTTTAGCCTGCATTTTGTTTCGATCAAAAAGAGTTCCTATAAAAATTTCCCGAGAAAAAGATAGTGTATGTTTGGGAGCCAAATAGGCATTTTTATGGGTGTTTCTTGTCTTGAAATTCAGTCCATCTTGGCAAAGCTGAGGAGCCTTGGTAAAGGGCAATGGACAGTTTTGAATGCTAATGGACTTACATCAAATGTCTTCTCTAAACTTTTATGGGCTTCTCAAACTCTGTGAAGTTGCGGATCAGTGGAGATGAAACATGATAGTTATTTATACAACTTGTGATTTCTTTAGCCTGCGTTTTGTTTCTACCGAAAAGAGTTCCTATAAAATTTTGCCTGGAAAAAGAAGTTTGTAAATGTATAAATATGGTGTATGTTTGGGAGCCAAGTAGTCATTTTTATTGGTGTTTGTTGTCTTGAAATTCAGTCCATCTTGGCAAAGCTGAGGAGCCTTAGTAGAGGGCAGTGGACAGTTTTGAATGCTAATGGACTTAGATCAAATGTCTTCTCTAAACTTTTCTGGGCTTCTCAAATTCCATGAAATTGCAGATCAGTGGAGATGAAACATGATATTTATGCCCTTTGCTGATTTTACTGAATCTTAAAAAGAAGAGTGATTTTGCCACTAACAAAGAATTTTATCTGAAATTGAGAGAAAAGAAGAAATGAAGACGTGAAAGGGGTTGTTTTCCATGAGATATTAGCAGAATTTGCTTGCATTTGGATCATAGAACTTACAAAATGGTTTTGTAGTTATCGGGATACACTTGTCAATGCTCTCTTAATTGAGGACCATGTAAGGAGTTATTTGCCAGAATGGTTTTCCACATATTCTTAAGGTTGTTAAATGAGCGAGATAGTTCATGTGCAGAGGGATTGTTATCTTGAAGCTTATTATTTTATACTGTTTGAATTTATTTAAGCTTACTTTGAATGGGCCTTTTTGAAGGAATTGTAATCTACCGAGTCATTCTGATTCACATGTGGTTTTTAAATAGATGAAATATGAAGTTGCTCTACAGCTTAAGGGTGTTTAATTAAAGGGATACTGATGGTGACTTTTTGATTGTTTCTATGTTAAGTAACTTTTTTCACAAACTGATGTATGAAGGTTCTTTGTTGGCATTGGAAGCATTCAAACTCATCTTGTTTGACCCTTCATAGTGCATTTTTAGTTAGAAGTATGCAAATGTGTCTCCTGTTTTGATTAGTGAGCTGATTTGAGAAATTCTAGTACCTTCTGTTTCTTGTCATTTGGTTGAATGGTGTCTTAGGATGCCTATTCCCATGATATTAACGGGCTTGACATTGTAATTGTTTGGCCTTGGGATTGTAAAATGGTTGGCCAAGAGGGTCATGTTAATGTTACGCATGAACATGTGTATTTCATCTTTTTGTCAAGCAAAATATGTTTTATCAGGGTGAGTCTGTCAGACAAACCTTAGTATGTTGAAGTCCCCCTCTATTGGTTTTCACTATGCTGAAGAATTAAGGATTTCCCGGTTATCCTTCAGATCTTTGGAATTCTTTTTTTTACTTTTCATAGCAATGTGTCCTAGTCTTTGCACTCTGCTAATATGTATTTGGACTGACTTATGTACATTATTTAACTTCTTACTTTGTCGACCATCCACCTTCCCATTTAACTGAAGAGTTATAATCTACTGGCTTATTGATACAGGAAGACACGTGGAATGGGAGCTGGTCGCAAACTGAAGTCCCACCGTAGGAGGCAAAGGTGGGCTGACAAGGCTTACAAGAAGTCCCACCTTGGCAATGAATGGAAGAAGCCATTTGCTGGGTCCTCACATGCAAAAGGCATAGTTCTCGAGAAAATGTAAGACAAAATGGATATGCCCATTCTTTCAAATTCTCATCCATTTTTCATGATTGGGACTTTTTCCACATGACACTAGCTGATGTCTGACTAAATGGATTTCACAGTGGGATTGAGGCTAAGCAGCCAAACTCTGCTATTAGAAAATGTGCTCGAGTTCAGCTGATTAAGAATGGGAAGAAGATTGCTGCCTTTGTACCAAACGATGGTTGCTTGAACTATATTGAAGAGAATGCAAGTGTTCTGATTTGTTATCACCACCCCAAGATTTCCTTAGCCATCTTAGTTCCTTCTTCTGTTTTAAACTTTATTTTATGCTCCTCATTGTTTTCATATTGGAATTACCGAAAGTTGTGTGCAATGTTCTTGTAGGATGAGGTGCTGATTGCGGGATTTGGCCGTAAAGGACATGCCGTTGGAGATATTCCCGGTGTCAGGTTCAAGGTTGTGAAGGTATCAGGTGTGTCTCTTTTAGCTCTTTTCAAAGAGAAGAAGGAGAAGCCAAGGTCTTAAGCTCCAGCGGAGAGAAGATTTTGTGAGCAGATTATCCCCTTTGATCTCTTGTTTTCTTTCCCACCCAAAACCCAACTTTCTCTTCTTTATCAATGGGTTAGCTTTGCTTGCTTCTGTATCATTAGATGAAACTGACAGTATAACGGCTTCTCTCTTAGCAAACCGAAAAATTCGAGTCAGATAATTTCTTTTTTCTTTACATTCTCGTGCCTTGCTGTTATGTACATACAATGGGCCGTGGTATTGAATTAAGGAAGTATCAATGTCTAGGCCAGTCATTGGTTGAATTGAACCTATTTGTTCAAGTCAAGTTACTGATCTTTGGATGCTTTTTACCATTAAGAGTATGTTCTATTTGAACTGCTTTTTTTTTTCTCGGTTTTGTTGGACTTGATCCCGAAAATGTACATACGCCTTGGGCTAACGCCGAACAAGCTTGGTTGGCATCCGTAGCTCTTGAATATGGTCTGAAATTAGACATAATTGCAGCTTAGTCCCTTCAACTCAGTTCTCAAATTTTGCCGATGCACCTGTAACCCGATATGACTAAAGTACTCCCCATGCTATGCCATTTTTTTATAAACTGTGATTAGAATGTAACTGAGCAGTTAAAATGTTCACTGTGATTAAAATTTTTATGGTTAAAATGCAAGTCATTAGATTAAGATTTGGATAATAATTCTAAATGATCTGGGTCATGTGTATTTTGCCTATAGGAACTCTGTTTACAAACATAGATTGTTCTAGTTTTGGGGGTTGGCTCCACCAAGAGTTAGTTTGGATTTTTCTTTGGTATTGTATTTGTATCCCACCAGGTGTACTAGGTTGCTGAAGGTTATTTTGAAATTCAAACCATTTTTAAATTTATTTTACTTGTTATAGCTCTGTAGAGTGGATCTCGAGGTGAGACCGAGTCTCACTAACTTGATTCTTAAAATAATATTTGGCAAGTAATTTAGGGTAAGATACACTTTTAGTCCTCAAAGTATACGTTTAGTGTTTGTTTGGTCTTTAATTTTTTTAATTGTGTCTATTTGATTCTTAAGATTCTTAATTTGTATCTATTTGATTCAATCTCAAACGCTCATTAGAATATCGTTAATGATTCTGGACATGCGTTAAATATGAGGGACTAAATAGACACGAATTAAAAATTTTAGGTGTGTGACCAAAATTGTAAAGATTTTTTGACAGACGTTTGAGATTGAATTATGTAAATACAAATTGAGAACTATAAGGACCAAATAAACATAATTAGAAAATTGGGCACTAATTAGATACCAAAAACATATTTTGAAGACCAAAAATGTACTTTACCCAATAATTTATGTTGTCATATTGCGTTTGAACTGAGCGAAAAACGAGGATCCAAATAACGTCTAAATCTTAGTTTATCATGTACGATTTATTAGCGAGGGATTTATGTATATACAAATAGCTCTATTTGAGTTTACCATAGGTGATTTATGAGGGAGGGAAAAAAAAAAAAAAAGTAACTTAGAAGTGTAGTCAAGCTTAGATCCAACGTTAATTTCCGATTGAAATGTCGACTCAAGTTTTGGGCGATCCATCTTGTTAGTTCAATTATCACTACTAGAGGTCCTTGAGGTTGTTCGGCTGCATACTCGCACTCTCAGTATCTTTTTTCTATCTATAGGTCAACTTCATGCATATAGATGTTTGTCGGGGGAGATTGGTGCTCCTTGGAGTATGCCTTTCTGATGGATTATTTCATTTTCTGTCTTTTCTATTCAGTTTTCGCACTGTGTCGGAAAATCTTCATCTTCGATCTCTCTTTGCAACGCAATAAAGAAGTCGAATGGTTTAAACTAACAAACTTAGAAGTGTGGTCAAGCTTGGTATGTTTATTACACAACTCGATCTTGAACATGTCCACTCTTGATAGTTTTGTTGATTTTGCGGTCCTAATCTCTAACATCCCACACATATTGATATTTTTTCTTTGAACAATGTTATTGAAACATAATTTGAAGATTTAATAATTGTAGTCATTAGATTATCAGTAGGTCCCAACATTAAATTATTACTGAATTTCAACACTATCAATCTAATGATCATAAATTATATCTCTAAATTATGTTTTAATAGCATTAGTGTTTTTCCTTTTGTATTTCTTCTGTTTTACTTGGCTTGATTTCTCATCCAATCAGATTGATATACTTTTCAATTATTATTAATATTAACACATGAGTTCTGTTTCCTAGCAAATAAAAAAAAAAACACAACTCCACATTTTGATGTTAGGCCAGATTGATATGTGAGTAGCCCAGCCCAGTCCAGTCCAGACCTCTACTGTTTCACGTTTCTGTAAACCTTGGGCTATTGCGATGGTCGCCCAGAAGACAGCTACAGTTATCGGCCCGTGGGCTTGAAGCTGTTGGACTTGTTTTTGTTTTCACCTGTCTCCACGTTTCTTGTTTCATTTTCATTTGTACAAAACGAATTGTGACCTTTATGTATAAGTGGGGCCTCCACTTATTAATGGTAAATGACCAAGAACAAAATTAAAAAAAAAAATAAAAATAAAAATAAGAGGCGTGAATCCTCTAATACTACGTTATATAGGAAAGATTCAATGTATGTAACTCACCTCTCGGTATACAACAGTTATTACGATGACTTAAGCCAATGACATTGTATTTTTATTTAAGACCAAATTCCGTGTCAATTAGTATAAAAGAAAGAATCCAATTACGATACGGAAAAACACTTGTTGAACATGGTCGGTAAAAGAGTAATTACAAACTAACATGCGATTATGCGACCCTATAATTCACAACAAGATGGTTGATGGCACACGATAAGCGGCGATCAGACCAGAGAGACAGAGCGGCTGGGGTGGATATTATTATTATTATTATTATATTGTTTTTCAGTCAAAAGATTTCACTGCTGTCCTGTCCAAAGCTGTAATAAAAAACCTAAACTGACAATTCTTTCACGCCCAAATCTTGTATTGGATTTGGTCCGGTAAGAGACCAAAATCTCAGATTTTTTTTTTTTTTTTGGTTTAACACACTAAAAGACAATATCAAGAAATGTAAATTACTTATAAAATATTGTATATAAATGAATGATTACAGTGGAGTTGATAATCGAACAAAGCTAATTTTGGGTTCAATTTATTTTGGACTCGTTCCGACTCATTTAGAAAATGAGTTCAACAAATATGACAGGTTCGGCTCGTTTATATGTAAATATTGAAGCTCGACTCAAATTCATTTCGTTTTAAACTCGTTTAAGCTCTAAACGAATTGAATTTTAATAATTTTTTTTAAAAAAAAATAGCTCGACAGTGTTCGATTTGGACTCGTTCAAGTTTATTCAATTATCAGCCTTAACTGTCAGTTATCATTTTGTCAATTTTTTTAAAAAAAAAAAATCAACTAGTGTATTCTACAAGACAAACTCTCATAGGTATGCACACTATATCACAGTGTTAACCGATCAAAATTTTCAGGCAGAATCTATACTGAAATTGGTGCTCATGCTTCACTGAAATTCTAATACTTTGGAGGAAGAGAATAAACCATCAACACCCATTATTATTTAATTATACCCTAATAGCAAACCCTTTAGTTATTTTAATCTTATGATCTACCTTGAAATGTGATACAATCATGAGAGAATATCTTGAAGACAGACAAGTCATTTTTAAAGTCCATTTTCTTGCAACCACTACCACCAACACTTTGCTTTATTTCAGAGAGTTCAGACTTTCAGAGACTTATAGGAAACATCAGCCTCAGTCAGTCTTTTTTCTTTAAAATGACCAAACACATTCCACTGACCACTGCATGTTCCTGATTACTTTGTCAGAAACAAATTCGAAAATTTCATTAGTTTTCCCAATCAATAAAGAAGGAAAGCTAGAGGAGACAACAACAAAATAGAGAAGATTCAGGTAAATCAAGTCTCTTTCAAAACCGAGAAAAATAAAAATAAAATTTGAAAGAACAAATTCTATCTGTTTTCTCTCTTTTTTTCCCTCAGTTTTTTCCCAACAGATCAAGAAGAAAAGTTAAAACTTAAAAGAGACAGCAAGAAAGAGAGATGATTGAGTTAACTAAATCAAGTCTCTTAAACATACAAAACTCAGAACACTAATAAAATAAAGATTTGAGTCTGGTGAGAGAACAAAATTTCTATAATTTTCTCTCTTTTTTTTTTTTTTTTTCCCTTCCTTGCAAGCTTGGTTATTTTATCATTCTACATGAGAGGGCTGTTGAGAAGTCCACCATGCCAAGATGAACCAAGAACACCATTCCAACTCTGTCTTCCTGAATCAAGATCACCCATGTTTCCATCTCCACCAAGATGCCATGGAAATCCCCACAAAACCCTATTCTCAGCTTCACTTGCATTGTTGCATAACTCTTGCTTCACTGTTGTAACTGTTGTTGCACCACTCATATCTTCACATGGCATTGCCATTTCTTCACTCACATTCAGACCCAGACCACCATTTTCACCATGGACCATGTTTCCATAGTACAGATTGTGAACTCCACTTGAGGTTTCAAGAAAGCCAGTCCTTAGGGCATCAAAGAAGCCATGACTTGTGGCAGAAGTGTTCACACTAGAGGGGTTTCCAAGAATTTCACAATGGGTGTTATAACTGTTGTTAGGGTTACCGGTTAGTGAAAAATCATGGTCATGATCAAACCCTAATTGTCCACTTGTTTGCTTCTGGAGCCTAGCAAACGCAAGGCTGAGGTCATTGCAGTCATATGGCAAAGGTGAGAGATTGGAGAATGGATTTGGATTGGGTGTGAGTGGCTGTTGATCTTGACTCCTTCTTGAAGATGATGATGCTGAGGATCTCTTGTTTTTCCTGCAACCACCACCCACTGGAACATTTCTCAGAGTCCCACCTTTGGTCCAGTACCTCCTGCAGGACTTGCAGAAGTACCTTGGCTGAGAGAGACTGTAGTTGTTGTAGTAACAGAACTTGGTGTTGGTGGAGTCACATCTAGGGCACTTCTGAGGTTGTTCTGGAGGCCTTGGTTTCTTATCTTGCTGAGATTTTGGGCAGACCAACATGCTTTCTAGTGTCTGGGAACCCATTTCCTGCACAACAATTAAAAGGAAAACCAATCACAATGAAGCCAGATGACTCTTTTAGTGTTATCATTACTCATTAATAAAAGCACCATCTTATCAATTTCTTTTGGACAATCAAAGAACTGAAGAGTAAAGTTAGTTAGAGCCTTAGAGGGCATTAAGCCATTTCCCAAATTTAAAGAAAAGAAAAATTAACAAGTAATAAAGTGGTGTAAGCTTTAAGCCTGGCAATGATGCAGTTGATTTTGCCATGTGTTATCATGGAGACATCAAAATTCTCCTTCATTGCATGTAATTAAATAGCAGGTAACCACTTGAGATCAAAAAAAGAAAGAAAGAAAAAGCAGGGAACTATTTCTAGACTTCTAGTCTATAGTACATATAATTACTAATTCAGAAATCAATTAACTTTCTTAAAGTTAGAAAAAAAGTGAAAGGGTGAGAATAATGATCCATTTGGCTGCTGAGAAAATGGTGGAAAATGAAACACATGAACATCTAAGGGTAGAATTTTTTTTTTCTTTTCTTGAAGAATCAGATAATTTGGAAAGAACTGAAACTTATAAATAACCTCCCCCTTGTTGACTTGGTCCACAACAAAGAAAATATTTTTCTTTGGATCAAGTTTCATAAGAAATGCTTGAAATTTTGAAACTTCTACACCAAAACAATGCAGAAAAACAAAATTTAACCCAAAATAACTTAAATCCCCATGAAGAAAATGTTCTAGTCTGGATCAAGTGTCATAAGAAATGCTTCAGTGAATTTTGAAACTCCTAGCAACCAAAACCATGCAGAAGATAAATTAACCCAAAATAGCTTAAAATTACCCAACAGGGTAGAATCAGAAATCTACATAGCTCATACATCATTTCATTTTATGAAATTTTCTCCTTTTCCTTCTCTCACAAAAAAGTCCAAATAGCAATTTCAAACGGTATTTGCAGATGAAAATAAAATTTCAGGCCAAACCCAGAACTCAAATCACTTCAAAAAGTGTGAAACTGAAACCTAAAAAGGAAAAATGAGATAACAAATTGATTAAACAAAGAACATCAACAGTTTTGCTGCATAATAGGCCGATTTCTCAACCTACCTGGTGATGATGGTTAGAGGGATCCATCCATGCAAAGTTCAGACTCCTCTTGACAGATTCAGAGAGAGAGATTCACAGAGAGAGTGAGAGAGAGAAAGAGGTTAGGACATGCAAAGGTAGGTAAACAAGGACAAGAATGTAAAGCGCAGCCTCTGTATATATAGATGTAGAGAGAGAGATAGGATTTCTAGGTAGAGAGAGGCGTGGGAGTGGAGTGGGGTGGGGTGCTGTGACTTCAAGGCTGTACGGGGAATGGATCAGTGTGTCTGAGCCTTGCACGCAGAGAAAGCAATCAGAGAGCGAGAGCATGGAAAAATTCGAATTAGATCATCACGGTTCTTTTGTGGGCCCCAGTTGCGTGTGAATGCAACTATACGTGGACCCCACATTTTCTGACCTTGGTGTTCCGCCATTCCCACTTCTCTACGTCAAATACTCGGCGACTCGCGCAACCATTTCTAGACTCAAACTATTATTCAAAGCATAATATATTAGATAAATATTTAATAATCTTAAACATTCCCAAAAAAAAAAAAAAAATTCACCTTTCGTCTACCTAAATTAATCTATATAAATAATTCGAATAAGTAACTGGCTTAAACAATAAAATATAATTATTTTCAAAATTTCACATTCTAAATCTCTTTCTACTTAATTATTTTTTTTTCAACGATCAGGGATGTTCGTGTTAATTTATGCTCACCTCGACTAATCTTCTTTTTAGTCTTGTCAAAAGCAAATCATTCACACCAAAATTAGAGTATTCATAAAAAATAAATCACTCAGGATCAAATCACAAAAGACACTCAACTATTTTCCGCAAAGTCGAAAGAGGAAAAAAAATTCTTAGTAAGAGTTGCAAAGGGGGCAAAATGGGCTTCAATCTTTGAAATGATTATCTATCTATATAGGATAATAACTATCCAACACAAAATAGTGGGATCCACGTTATCCAATTATGTATTTATTATTTAGTGATTAATTCGCACGTCAATGCTAACCTGGTATAACCGAAAGAATAAATATTTACTCTCAAAGAGGATTGCCCTAGCCACTGTTACCTTTATTGCTACCAAACAATCTTTTTCGAAAGGTTAGTAATTTTTATTTCATTAAAAATTAAAAATTCAATCTTAATATAAATTTCAATTTGCTCTCGCAACCACCCCATTAAGGTACTATAAAAGCGTACCACTTCACTCTTATTCATATATAGTACACATGTTAGTATTGAAAGTAAACCTATGTAATTAAAAATCAAGAATGTAATTAAATATCTTCCGCTATTACAAGTTTGTGATTTTTTTTTTATAAAATTTGAGGATTATTTATAATTTTTAAAGATTATTTACAAGTTTTAAGGATCATTCCCAACTTTTATGACTCATCTTATAATTTTTAAAAATCATTTACTAATTTTGAGATCGTTTGATTTTATAATTTTTAGAATCGATCCAAAATAACCCACAAAAATTATAACTTGAGTTATAAAAATTATAATATGACTTCAAAAATTATTATAAATTAACCTTAAAATTTTTATTAAATAACCCACAAATATTAGAACTTGAACCGTAAAAATTATAAAATAATCTCCACAGATATAAATTTTTTTATTATAAATAAATCTTCAAATTCATTACTCAACCCTCGTAACTTTTAAAATTTGAGGGGGCAATATCGAAATTTTTTTGTTGAACACCCTAGAGGACTCCAAAATTAACCAGTGAGAAAAACTATGGTGGACACTGGTGGGGGCCCACACAAGCACTGTGCATCTTCAATTGTGGAAGACTGGTGATTCAGACCCGTAATGATCACGGGACTGACAAGGGGACACAGGTGTTTGGGCACTTTTATTTTTCATGTTCCATTCAGACCATCAACGTAGACCTGTTTGATTTCCTGCCGTTGGCACTCTACTATAACATAATACACTGTATAGTCACACTCATCGTTACACTATTTTTAGCAGGGTCCTTATCACCATCACCATCACCATCACCATCACCATCATCATTATCATTATCGTGCCCACCCCACCACCATTGTTACCATCTCACCACCTCCACCGCCACCACCACTACCACTACTATCACCACCATCACCTTCGCTACTATCTCATCACCACCTCTATCATAACAATCACCACCCTCACTGCCCTACAATCACAACCATCACGGCCATCCCACCATCACTATTGTCACCGTCAAACTATCATTATCGTCACTGTCCCACCATCACTCTTATCACCTCCACCCCCACTGCCTCCTCACCCTACTGCCCCACCACCACACCTATGATCATCACCATTGCCACCCCACCACCACCCCCACCACCATTGTCACTATCCTATTACCACCCCCACTACCCCAGCGCCACCCTTAACACCATTGCCACCCACCACCGATTGTTACCATCGTCTCCATACATTACTATCGTCGTCTCATTATTATATTTATTACAACTACCTTCGTGATCCCACTACAACCATCATCCACCGTCAGTATCCACCACAACCATCATCATTTTCTAGCACCACCATTGTTGCCAACCACCACTGCCACCCCCCACCCCCATTATAACTGGTAATTAAATTTATTTATCTCTTTTATGTTTTATGATTTAATTTTTTGGTAAATATAAATATGTTTATTTTTGACTATTTTTTTAATTACTCGTCTCTAGACACAGGCAATAACTAGTATAAAATAAGATAGATTTTAATAAATTCATTCGATAATTTCAAACAAACTCATTCAATGGTTACTAACATATTTCAAAATCATTCACGTTGCACCGTACTTTTAGACATTGGTTACCTGTAATATACTTATATTTTTTTGCACAATGATTTTGTATCTCCTAGTTTTCCCTTTATCAATGACCTATGCATTGTGAGTTTGATTGAGGGAAAAGAAATATTTTGATTAATTTCTTAGTTTTTAACTTACAAATAACACGATTGAAATATAAATATAGTTTGATCATAACATAAACTTTTTGTGAGGTGCTCTTCCCCCCGCCCTCTCCCCCCCCCAAGGGCCCGCCTTGTGTAGGCTACGAAACATGTTTAGCCAAGTTCGACCCGACTTTATCTATTCTCTATCTCTCGAGTTTGGATACTCGAATTTTTTTGTCCCATCTCGTTATTTAATGAATTTATGTTTTGATAAAACAATACGGACTCAAAATTAGTATACCTATGTTTATTATTGCAGCCTAGGGAATAAAATGCTTAGTGATGGTGGCAGGTAGATGAATGGACTCAAGACATCGCCAATGTGTACTCATTGACATGGCTACTACTTTGTGTCTCACCATTGTCTTTATATCAATTTCCTTATTTGGAATCAAAGGTTTGGTGTATCTGAATGCCACGTCAATGTCTGTCGAGTGGTAGCTAGCTGGGAGTGGCTAGTTTGAGGACGAAGAAAAGAATATTCACAAAAAAAAAATGATACAAAAAAAAGGCATAAGAACTACGTTAGGGCAAAAAATTTTGATGTTTTTGTTTGTGTGCTCTTAAAAATAATCTTAAGTGATAGTTTTCGACCCTACAATTTGTATTTGGCGCCTGAGACAATTTTTTATTATGTATTTTTTGTAGTGTTCACGGGAATTAGGATTGATTTAAGCTAATACGTACAAATAGACAGAACAAGCTCAATATTTTATGTTGAGGTCCAAGTTTATTTATGATTAAGAATTGAGTGATGTTGAAACCGTTTCTTTCATGCTAGTAATTTTTATTTTTTTTGAATTCAAATAAATTTTAGTATAATATCACTGGGTACGGGATCCATCCTAACCTTGTCCAAATATTTAAAGAACTCGACTCCCTTGCAGGTGAATTTCTCGATTCTTAACTTCTGCACCAGATGATTGTCTTTATCAAGTTGTCAACAAATTCCTTTGACTACAAATATAGGCCTTTCATATGCACAATCAAATTACTCCAATAGCCCTTAATAAAACATCCATAAATCATTCTAACTCATGAGGACCAAGTTGATTGTTCAAACTGCTTTAATTTGTCTCTCCTTTGGTCATTCTTTAATACCCTTATGGATTATATATACCTGAGAAAGAAAGCCTTCAAATCAGTTCAATCATCAAGTGAAATTCTTATCTGCCCAACAGATGCAATCCACTCAAATGAGAGAGATCAACCAATTATTATACTTCATCCTCTCTCTCTCTCTCATCAGTATCACCATTTGAGGGCCAAGATTCTTGGAATGGTGGGAAAATCAATGTCACCCAACAAATATTCCAACCTGTCAGAGGCACATACCATCAAGAGACAATGATTGATTCCACCCTGATTATCTTTGGATCCTTTGATGATGTGCAATGTGGGTGGGCCATTAGGCAAAAACAGTGGGACCATGGTGCTTCATTGGGATCAGTCAAGTCAGTTGACTGGTCAAATGTTATCAGTCAAATGAAACACCGAAGAAGAAGAAAAAAAAAAAAGAGTGAAAGAAGGATGGGAAACTGTGCCAATTAATAGGGAAGAAAAGAATCTTCTTGGATGAAGAGAGAACAAATTTCCAATGGATTTAAAACACCATGGGCTAGTAACTGATTATGCATACTTCAAGAAAAATTGTTACAATACTAATTAGTTAGATATATTTTAATTATTTTTTTCATAAATCATTGAGTGATAATAATTCTCGATAATATACAATATTTCATGAGTTTTATACACCGCTTTTGAATAGACAAGATAGAATGATACTTCTCATCTACTTATTAACGATGCCCCTATGTTTTTAAATTCAATTTTATTTTAATCTAATGGTTTTCGGTGTATAACTCAACTAACAACTCTTCATGTATGTAAAACGTCTAAATTATGGGTATACTTTGTTTTATTTTGACAGTGCCATTGTGGAAATAAGGCCAACACCACACGAAAAACATTGGATATAATTGTTCAATGATAACATTGTATATGAGCAATTAAATTCTATATTTAATTTTATTATTCAGCGATTATATTTTGTTATGTTATATAATCAATATTTTCTCAAAGACGACAGACCTTAGTGGTAGGTCGGTGGACGTGGGGCCACCCACGATACCCAAATGTTGGACTGTATACGTGGCATGCAAAATGCGGCTTGATGACGAATATTACAGTTTACGAGGAGAGAGAGAGAGAGAGAGAGTGAGTCCAAATCAAACATTATCGTCATCAAGTGACTTAGTGGTGGGTCCCACTTAAGTTCACTTCTTGGTGAAGGAAAGCATTATATGCCAGAGTATTATACTAGTATTCTTACTTTTTCCGTTACATGCTATTCAAGTTTAGAATAAACTAGTTTTTTCGAGCTCAAGATTTATTATCCTAATTTAGGTTAAATTAAAATATATTTTAGATAAAATTTAAAAATGAGGAAGAGAGATTTGAAACATGGGAAGAATGATGGAAGTCACGTGATACACGTATGATTTTTTAAAACGGACTAAAAATGGGCCGATTTTGGAAGAGTCTGAATTTGTGTTTGATAACGTACAATGGGCTGAGCGAAGATTTGACGAAAACAAACAAACAAACAAATGAAAAAAATGTTGATGTCATCTATTCCGTTAAGAAATACTACACTCCAAGTCTTGTGTTTGGTAACGCACCCCGGAGTCCGGACCCCACCCCACCCCTCTCGCGTTCAATGCATGTTTAGACACAAACAGAAACCTCAGTGAAACATATGCGTGTCAGTGTGGAGAGAGAGACAGAGGACTTGTGTCATTGATGGGCGCTACTAGCTGTTTGTGACCAATTCTGTCACTTTATTCAGTTTTTAGTTCATATTTTAGGGTTTGTCTGCCGTACCCTAAAAAAAAATTATGTACCGTGCTAATCAACGTCTGAGACGTTTAATTCTAAGGATGATTCAATAGTCAAACATAATTTTTTAGAAGAAAAAAATTTCAGGTTTGATACTTTATACATTCTTTAAAGGTTAACTATTTTTGTTTCTCAGGAAAATGTCCTTAAACTAGCTCGAGTTATAATGACTGATTTCAGAGCTTGAGAAAATAGTCGGTACAAGCTTGAATAACTTTTAACAAAAAAAACTTCTGAGACGAGTAGAATTGAGATTCCCTCAAATAAATTTTTTCTTCAATTTTTTTCTTAATAGATCACTTACCATGTATTTAAATGGGATCAACACTCATTAATGATGAATAATCCACCAAGAAATTTTAAAATATATATATATCCGAGGGATCTACAATAGATTGTGATTCTTGTGAACAACAAAATCTTCTTCTTGAGAAGTCCATTATAAGTGGCCCAAAATATGTGGTAAAAGCCCAAGGACCAATCTACTTTTAATTTAGAAAGATGTGAGTGATGATGGGGTGGGCCAGGCCATGCTGCGGGTGAGCGGGTTAGCTATCAGGTTGGTGGTGGGCTGGTGACGTGATGTAATCATGGGTAACTGCGAACCAAATATTCCTACAGTGGCAGTGGCAGTGGCAGTGACAGTAACGAGGGGATAGCGGTGACCAGGGGAAGGTGGTGGTGACAAGAGGTGACAACGACGGTGGTAACAATACTAGTGGAGGTGGTTTTAGTGACACTAGAGGCAGTGGGTAGTGGAAACTTGAGGTGTAAAAAAGCATTTGGAACAAAATATTTCGAGGGCTCATTGGTCCATCACGAGAAGTGATAAGTAGGTTGTTAACTGCTCGAAATTTTATTTTATTTTTAAGAGATATTTGAATTTTCAAGTGATGTGAGTTTTTGTCCTCGAACGCATTTAACTGAAAAAATACAACATATTTTAAGTATTGACTTGGTTTATCAAATACCACCTTTATACTTTGTGTTTAATCCACACATAATTAAAAATAAACATATTTTTTTGGATGAATAATGACACCTTTATACTCCAAACAATCTTAAAATTCTTAAGCAGCTTGAAATATTAATTTTTACATTGCACATTTAAACAAACAAAACGGTAGCTATGTGATTCAACTTTAAATCCTTGTTGCTTTATCTGCTAATTTTTTTTATTTGTTATATTTTTTATTCTTGTACACAATTTTATTAAAGCATGCCACTTTATTGTCTATTTAAGTTATAAATTAAATGTTTAGAGTTAACTATATAGATAACCCCTAAACTATGTTATTTATGTCAATTAAGTCCCTAAACTAATTTTTATATTAATATATGTAATTAACTATACAATCTAACTCAACGTGACAATGGTGTCAGAATTCACTATTAACTTTGAAGTACCATCACACAATACCTATATGGTATTGACTATCCAATGCACGCGTTACTTTTCGTTGAAATTATAGCTAATTTGTATAAAAGGGTCACATTTAATCAGATTTTCTTAAATCGACATAGTTAAAACATTGAGTTAAGTATATATTTGACCCTGAATTCTATCATTTACATTAATTGAGTCTCTAAATTATATTTTGTGTAAATTTAACCCTTAAATTATGTCATTTGATTAAACGTGGCACTTCCATCCAAATTTCTTGTTAACCGGCAATTCTTATGTGCACATCATGAAGACCCTGAACTATATCCTAATTCTTAACTCACATAATTTGCAAATAAGAATTTTCGTCAAAGTTAATTGCAACTTTGGACAAATTAATCACACTTAGTTCAATTGTATAATTTAAGGATTAAATTGACATAAAATAAATTTAGGAAAAATTTCAATCTCATTCTTTCTACTTTATCATATCTTTAAGATATCCTCTCTATTTTCAAAAATATCACTAACACCCTTTCTACTTTATATTTCAATATCACTAACACTCCCTACTATTAAATTATCCTTTATAACAAAAACATATTATCTAAAATACCAAATTTGGTCCAACATAAACCTCAAAAATCATTCTACATAAAATTCGAGTCGATTAAAATTTATTTTTCTATATATTAAAATTCGAGCCGATTAAAATTCTTTTTTTTTACATATTAAAATTTGATTTGATCAAAAACCTTTATTTTTTTACCAATTAAATTTGAGCATATTAAAGTCCATTTTCATGTATTAAAATTCAAGTCGATTTGAGCTCTACTTTAGCTGTTAGTCTCCATTAAAATTTTCTTCGAGTCAATTAAAAGTTATGTTTTTTATTTATTAAAATTCGATTCAAGTTGATTAAAATTTGAGTCAATTCAAATTTATATTTTTTATGTATTAAAATTCAGGCCGATTAAAATTTAATGCGAGTTGATTAAAATTTAATTTGAGCATCGAATAGAATTTTAAAAGGTTATTATTTTAACAAGTAATAAAATATATTTTTTAATCGACTCAAATTTTAATGCATAAAAAATAAATTTTAATTAGATCGAATCGAATTTTAATCGACCTAAATTTTAATACGTAAAAAAATTTAGGAAATACAGGGGGTTTCATTGAAGACATACCTATCTAGAAGAAATCTCATTGAAGATATATTCATCTAGAGGAGGTGTAAATAAAATTTTTCTTAAAATATATCATAGATAATTTAATAAAATTACATTCTAATTAATGAGAAAATCCCATTTGAAATTTTATTATTGATTAATAATATTCAGAAGATAGAGATGGTGCCCATGTATGATAAGCTAGAATAGAGGGGGTGTATTTGAATGCTTAATTGATACAATGTGCAATGTAAATATTTCATGGACGCGACTGCCTCTCTGACAAACATACAGCCTACGCCGGTGGACTTCGCAGCCTCTGAACCCCTCTCTCGCTTCTCTCCCATGCGACACAGAGGTCGACAATGGAGGCCGCCGCAATACGATCCCTAATAAGCCATCTTCCAAGCCCGACCAGCCCCAAGTCGTCAACGGCCGATCACAACCTCCTCTTAAGCGTAAAACTTCCGAAACCTTACTCCAAGCGACGTTGTAACGCGCCCGTCCGGGTCTCTCTTGAGAACGATGGTGATAAAAGCAAGAACACCTATGGAGCAATCGAGCTACAAAGACTCGTAGACGAGTATCCATATGAGTTCAATTCCAAAGACTCACCTTCACTGCCAAGTGAATAGAATCATAATTTTCGCTTTTGTTTTTTATTATTGGCTTTGATTTTTAGGGTTTTTTGTAAATCAATAAATGGGGTTTTCGATGCGACATTGGATTTACAGGGCCTTTAACGTCGACCCAATTGTCCAATTTGGCTTCTGAAGGATCTCGCCTTCGGGTTGCTTATCAGGTTTTGGCATCACTATATGTTTATCTCTGCCTGTTGCTGTGTTATCATGTTGGATTTGATAATTGTTTTTATTTGATTTATTAATTTGGTTTTTTAGGGAGTTCGGGGTGCCTACAGTGAGTCAGCCGCAGAGAAGGCGTATCCAAACTGTGAAGCAGTTCCTTGTGAACAATTTGACACTGCTTTTGAAGTAAATTCTCTTGCCATTTTGCTTATAGTATATGTATTGATACAGATACCGCCAAACTTGCACTTAAATTTTGAGTTTTATTATTTTCAAATCAGATATTACATTTTTCTGGGCTATATGGTGCGTGGGTTAAAAAAAACTATATGGTTTGTATTGCGGACTAGTCATATGGTGGTGATGCTGTTTTTTATCCACTTTTACATTAATCAATTATGTAAAAGGACCTGTTTTAGTCAAGCAATTGGACCATTATCTGTGATTAGGTACGATGGTGATGTTTTATCCAATTCCTGGTTGGTTCGTACTAGGGTCATTTTTCTGTAACAAAATGACCATGAAGTTTGTAAATACTCTTGTTCTTCTTAGTGATTCAAGTGTAGGTTTCGTTGTTGCTATTTTCATCACACAACCTTGTACTTTAGCGTTTGGACTGAAAAAACACAGACTAGTGCAGTGATTTGTGTTCGAATATCAGAGGCATCTCTCTTGGATTAGGGTTCCAAATTTCACCTTGGTCTTGTGTCATTCTAGGCTTCCCCTCTCTATTTCACAGGTAAAGGGGGTGTTGTCACCCATTATATATTGCATGCCTCCTGAATTGAGTTTAGCTTGCCATTTAATGCATTTTTAACTGTTCAATAACTCAGTGGAGACTTTGCAAAATATGAGAGTTTGCACTTGGTGTGAGGCAACTACCACCTTCACGATCCCCTGTTACTTTCCACAACTCTAAATTTGGTGATACCCAATTTTCGTCATATTTGTTTTGTGCTAAGAATGGGCAATAAGCCAACAAGGCAATAACTATAACAACTTAAACAACCAACACAGATGCGAGATATGCAGAGTGCTTCCTTCATGTAGTTAATTTTTCCATAACTTTCTTTTCCTATTTATGATGTCCTAAGGGTATAACAATTGTTGTTACTCCTCTTCTATGGTTTAAGTTCTAAAGCTGCTGTTAACAACTCTTACTAAGTTTGGTTTTTAGTTGGCGATGTCTTGGAATTTCATAATAAATTTTTGTTTATATTCATATACAAGTCCTGTTCTATAGTGACCACAGTGCAAACTAATTCCAATTCTAAGCAGTCCCTCTTTAATGTTTTTATACTGGCCATCTTCCCCCCAAATGGCATAATGTTGAATTTTTGTAAAGAAGCTTTGTTCTAGGGTTTTTGTTTATGTTGGATAGTGTTAGCTTTAAGTGCACAAAGCAACCTACATTTGCATTTCCAAAGGACTATAAGGAGCCATGGTTTAACTTTCTCTTATTTATTGTGTTGCAGGCTGTTGAACGTTGGCTTGTTGATAGAGCAGTTTTGCCCATAGAGAATTCTTTAGGCGGGAGCATTCACAGAAATTATGACCTTTTACTTCGACACAGTTTGCACATAGTTGGGGAAGTGAAACTTAAAATCCGGCATTGCCTACTAGCTAACCGCGGTGTAAAACTTGAAGACCTGAAGAGGGTTCTTAGCCATCCACAAGTATGTTTGCCTTACTCCTTCATTCATTTCTTAACTAGATTCTTTGATCTGAGGCCCAGTGATACTTCAGGCTCTTGCACAGTGTGAGAACACATTAACAAGGATGGGACTGGTCAGAGAAGCTGTGGATGATACTGCTGGTGCAGCAAAGGTAAGCATTATTGGTAGTTGACTGATGGATTTGCTTGCTTCGCCAAGCTTTTAAGCTGAATATATGCCATGGCATGATATAACTAAAATGCTGGCCTTGGTGGATGGCAGCAAGGTCAGAAATTGCAAACACATATTTAAAGGAATGCTGGAAACAACCTTGTGAATGGATTCTGAGGAGGCCTTTTGGGCTTACCCAGTCAGATTTTTCGTGTCCTATCAATGATTTCAACCTTCTTCATTTTTTGTATTCTTAATATTTTCTTCTTATGTAGCTTGTTGCTTTCCACAAACTCAAAGATACTGGAGCAGTTGCTAGCACTACTGCTGCTAGGATCTATGGCTTGAATGTACTTGCTCAAGACATACAGGTTGGTTTCCAAAAGCTCTGAAAATAGCGATGGAGTTCTTTTGATTAACATTTTTCATTGAGCATTGGGTCATGAGTGATTGTACCTTCCAGGATGATTCTGATAATGTGACTCGATTCCTAATGCTTGCAAGGGAGCCCATTATTCCTGGCACTGATAAGCCATTCAAGGTTTGCCTTCGAATGTTTACTGATGACTGTAACTCGAAATTCCAGTTCCGCATGCTTTTTAACACCTCAATTCCACCTTTGCTGATATTGTACTTTTACTTATTATTCATGGTAGACTTTCATTGATTAATGTTTTAATCCATTATTAGACAAGTATAGTCTTCTCACTCGAGGAAGGTCCTGGGGTGCTTTTCAAAGCACTTGCAGTTTTTGCTATGAGGAATATCAACCTTACTAAGGTTAGTTCTGAATTCTCTTGGGCTCTTCTTAGAGCGCCGTGGCACAGAACACCCCTGCTTACGGTCCATATTCTTTTCTGCTGAACCAGATTGAAAGCCGTCCCTTACAGAAGCAGGCTTTGCGAATACTTGATGACAGCACTAATGGGTTCCCAAAGTATATGCAGTAATTTGTTTTATCTAGATTTCAGAAGACTTGTGTGCTCATTCAAGTCATAAATATATTTCTCACTGTTTCTTTGTCTAGTGTTTTATGAGAATTTCTGTTCTGATTACAGTTGTGTTCTGATGCAGATACTTCCCGTATCTTTTCTATGTCGATTTTGATGCATCCATGGCTGATCAAAGAGCCCAGAATGCTCTTGGGCATTTAAAGGTGCAATTTTTATATTTCATTCTATCACGGTATCTCCTATAGTGATCTGCATCTTCATAATTCCTAGCGTGGGAAATGTACTTCTTGGCAGGAGTTTGCAACATTTTTGAGAGTGCTAGGGAGTTACCTGGTGGACTCTGGAATGGCTTGAGGTCTTTGAACCGGGTAAGGTTTTCCTTTATCCGAAGAAATATTCTCAAGCAAACTTTTGAGGGGACGTTCCCTTATTTATGGTGTTTATGTGGAAGTAGACAAGGAGTCATCCTGATGTTTGGACTTTTAACTCTTCAAAACCTCCTTTGCATAGTCCACTACTTTTAAGGCTTTAAACATGCCAACACAAAATGAGCGGTAGGATGCTTGAGCTTTTCTACATAAAATACTTGTGAGCTCCAAATTGGTATTTTGGTTATGTTATCTCACAAAAAGGTTCAAACAAGCTGAATAGTAGGCTGCTGGCCATTGTTGGCCGTTCCAAATCAGAAATAAGGTGGTGGGCCATTCATCCCTGGAACACTCTTCAATGAACTTTTTATTCTCCACAACATAGTTAATAAACCTACCCTGCCATGTCTTGGTGCTAAATTGTGATTAGGTACTTTTAAGTTTCAAGGGAAAATGAAGATAAACATTGTCACTAGTGAGGCTTTGGAATGAAGGTCTCAACCACTAGACTTTAGTAACTTTGTGATTCTCTCGTATGCTACAAGTATATTTAGGGCCATATTATGTACTCTATGCAATATCCACCAAGTAATTCAAATTCTTGGGAACTTCTTGATGATGGAGTTTATTCAAATCTATTCTATTAATAAATAGAGAGGAGGGGGTGGTGTCCACATTTGAAACACCAATAATATCCCTCATCTCTTCTTATCTTATCTTAACTATCCATATTTTCATGCAGTTCCTCATAATTTCTCTATTATCTCTCTCTTGTCATAAATTTTGTACTCCCTCCATCGTGTTCAGATTGTATTACTTTTCGTTTTTGTCTGTTGCAGAATGTTTCTCCAATACTTGAATTTCAAAGCATTTATATTTTTCATACTCACATAGTAAGGTTTTGTATGAAGATTAATTGCATGCACATAGACACAAATTACTAGTACACTAGGCATTGTTGGACCATGTTAATCTTAGTATGATAGCATATAAATGGCAAGGGGACCGTGCATTGATTGTCCTTTAATTTGTGTTTTTACAAACATGACAATATATGTGGAACAGAGGGAGAGTTGGGAAAGAAAAAAACAAGTAAAGAAGTTTAATGATGGAACTCATGTATGCTAGTTTGCAGTAAACTAAGGGGATATGTGTATGTGAATTTATATCGTAGTAGATCGTGTTATTTTATACACATAAACACATTGATGACAAATGTGTATAAGTTTGGTTTGTGTACCAGTCCCTACATGCATTGCTATGCAATTAAATTGGGTTTAATAATGAGATTTTATGAGCTTTTATTTAGTGTGTTCCTTGCTAATGCTTGGACAGGGTTCTCATTTATCGAATATGAATTCCCTAAAGAAGAAAAGACTTGCCTGGAGCTTCTGAGATCTCATCGACGTATATAACACGTTGGTCTTGTACCATCGTATGTGAATCCCGATCAACATCCTATATCGGATACATTTCGTTGTGGCGTGGCAAATTTCGTCATGTAAATACTCACTTTTGTTCGTTTTTTGGATTTGTTATACTTCAGCTTTTCTTTCTTTTGTGTATATTTGATTTATTTTTTCAGCCTTCACGAATTGTAATTGTGGTTTTGTGCATTCAACCTTTCAGAGTGGGAAAATGTTATATAAACTCGTGAAATTAACTCAATTTTTTTTATAGCTAATACTATTTAGAACTAAAAATTTAACCTATTTTGTGGACATAATGACGTGACTTCAGTGAAACTATTGAATCAACACTAAATTCTAATGTTTGATGGAGTTTACAGTGAATTCAATGATTATAATGAATTAGATCAGTAAATTAAGTCTCAATAGTATTGCCCGACACAATGTTTTCACCCTCAACACAAATCAATTTTTGAGCATTCCATCATTGAAGCAAGAATGTGTAGATTCACAAGTACGGAGTTACAAGAAGTATAAGCAATTTAGGATGGCTTAGTGATTTGAACTGAAACAATCTCTGCTTCGTTGATGCTAACCATAAGGGATTCAAATCCTCTACAGCTCACTTTTCCAGTCTCTCGACGCAACCAATGCAAATTGGGGTGTTACTTGTATTTATGATAATTCGATATCATTAGAGAGAATTAAGAGAACCTGTGTAAAAAATACCCAAATCTGGTTGATTCTAGGACAAAATTGTGAATAATTGTGGTGACCCTATTGGTAATGTAGTTCCAGAGTCCCACCACCCCCCTTATTGCTCCCTATAAATGGTGACAATTCATGGATCAACAGTCAAATCACATAACAGAAATAAAAAAACAAGCATTAACCAAGCACATCACATATCTGCAGAAATATTTACAAGAGTCTCGAAAGTAGGGATTAAACCACATCAAAATCTGAAATCCAGGGTGCTTCCAAAGTATTGAAAGGCATTCATGGTACAACCTGAAATACAAGGTCCCTGTGTTGGTAGATGAACACTTTCACATTCCAGAGGCTCAGAACTACAATTTTGATTTTTATCGGCCTCGGTTTTCCATGAGACTTGTTATCAGCACCAGAATCTCATTACGCATCTCAGCAACGCTACATGGTGTAACCTGTTCCTTCATGGCAGATAACCACCAAACCCCCTCTTTGGGTTCATTGCTCTCATACCAGCGACATATGGCTCTTGCAATGGCTGTAACATATAAGCCACAATCATAACCATTAACTTGCCTAGGGGTGTCAGAGCATTCAACATAAGCGCCATTAGATCCTGTCCCCATGTATGGAACAACAGCTTTATAGATTTGCTTAGCATGTTTCCTATTAAGCTCACCAGAGATGCTATCATGATGCACAAACACATTGGTGATTCTCTCAAATGCAAGTAAGCTCCAATGACTCCCACCTTCAGCTTCATCCACATCCTCATTGTCATTGACAGGAAAGATTACCAGTTTCTTATCAGACAGATTGAGGGGTTCTACGAAATCCTTGAGGTTCTGGTTAAATTTCAGGGACATCTTTATCCAGAAAGCAATTGAAGGAGGTATCAGAAGGATGTCCTCAGAAGGATAGCATGCAGTAAGATAGCTGAAATAAAACTCGATAATGCGATCATTAAGAAAGTAAGGACCACTTAGGATGTCCAGATCTGATCGTCTAAGCACAACATCATTATAGCTGAGAATCATTTCATCAGCCGAGGCTTTCCCCATGTTTTTATGTCAGTTGCACACCTGTTGATACAAACTCAAATTATATTCAAAATATAAAATGCAAAAGGAAGGAGAAAACTGTTGTTGCTCAACTTTAACTATATAGAATGTCAAGCGTAATAACCACTCGTTTGTTCTCTTCATCTTCTTCAAATTATGGAAGTAAAGGTTGGGAAAAGCCATCAGTAGAGATTTAACATGGAACAAAGTTTAAAGTCTGAAGGATATCAAGTTGACATAAACATGCAGCTTGAACACCTCTCCTATTTATTATTTATTTATCTAGGTTGTCACAGCAGACAATATATTGATGATAAAATTCAAAAGAATTCACTTGTACAAAACATGGAGCAGCACAGTAGCTGAATAACCAAACTACGACTACCTATTGATGTTCAAGGTAGAATTTATCATGGTTTGAAACTATTAATTGACATCTCCCCTGAGATACATTATATTCAGATTGCTTAAAAGTTGAACCCGTAATAAAAGATTAAAAACCATTTTGCTCAACTCTTTCCAAATTAGGTTTAAAGATAGGTCCATAAATCATGAAAATTATATTAGGTGTTTGGACAAAGTAAAGTAGCACTTACTCATCCTTCCTTACGGGAGACTTTGAGTTTCTGACACTGTAGCAGATTTTGCCATACTGATTTTAAGTAAAAGGCAAAAATATATGAAGGTACTAGGTTTGACTTAACAATGGAAAGGGCCGGTTAAAGCACTATGGTCACATAATGAAAAAGAATATCTGTTCCCCATATTCGCATTGCTACCAATTGATCAAGCCCCACATCCCCCATAGATCAAGGTAAAATTTAGAATGTCGACTAGTATAGATAATCTCCAGTAAGCTCTGCCTTAAAAATAAGTGCAGGACGAAGTTAAAGAAGGGTTTGAGGGCTGGTCATTAATATTCTATGTGGATATGAACTGAAGAAATTATTGGGGCCGAAGCTTGTGCAGGTGTAAATGAGAAAGAATCAATTTTGGGTTCAATTAAACAAAGATAGACAAGTTTGAAGATCTTTCTGTGAACAACTATGGCTGGTTTTGCAATTTCAGTCGAAAGTTAAAAACTTCAAAGAGGAAACAAACAGGGCCTGTCCATAAGGTTTTAACCATTGAAAACATTAATAAGTCCCTAAAATATGTCCCTTTTTTTTGGAAGGTAAATAATTGTATTAATCCGAAAGAGAGATATGCAAATGCAATAGAACTCAAAATATACCCTGAGGGTACACTTGAAGTTCTCAAATGATAAAACTCCACAAAACACACACGCCTAGACAATAAAAATTACCCTCCGTAACTCAATAGACTAGGCCTTCCATTCCCAGGTTAACCTGTCAAACTTCATCATCTGTGGGTGGTACTGGTTTCAGATTCTCTCAAGGTTCTTAAGAGAAGTTCTTTTCTCACGTCATTATTTCTTGCCATTTTTCTTCTCCTCACTACCATGCATCACAAGTTCACTCAATCCCATGTAAAGTAGAGATAAGCAAGCATACCAGGACCAAGGTAGCTTGCTAACTCTCGCCATTTGCCAATCGAGCTGTAAGAATGTAAAAATATCAAAGTCTCTTCAAAGAGTGATTGCAGAACACAATCCGCGATAGGAAGCACACCATAAACACCCAATGCTCCTTTGCAAGACACATCAGGATTTTCTTCATTCAAAGCACTGGTCAAAGCAAGCTACAACTAGCCAATATGCTTTTCTGTGTGATCTGGTTAAGGCTTATCCAAACAACACGTGGCGCAAAGGATAGGGTGTGAACACGCAAGACCAATACACAAAGCAGCGCATGAAATGCCGCCATCTTCAACAACCCACTAGATGCTCAGCTCCACCACTTCTCCACTAGGCCAAGAATCAAAGTGTAAAGTCAGCCCAACAACGCACTTCAAAAGCAAGATTTATCTAAGTAGAACCATTGAAACAAGCACCCAAATCTGAGCTGCACAAAGATAAGTACGTTGTAATAAAACTCAGCTCCACCCAACACCACCAGTGGATTTGAGGAGACACTCAAAGCAACCCGCTTTTTGTATGGGTTTGGCTTAAATTTCCAGCATTACAACCGTTAGATCTACCAACCTGCTCCGAAGGATTCATACCAACCCCACCATTACAACCATTGATCAAGTGGAACCTCAAAAGCTAGGAAAAACCCAAGAAACCCATCTCCAAACCCATAGAAACTCACCAAATTCTAGTAGATTAAGAACGCCTCCTGCAACTAGTTAACTTCCTCATGCACCTATAACTTGAATGTCGTCAAACACCATGATTGTGGCCTTCACATGCCACTTTAACCCGAGTCAGAGGGTGTCCAAAAAAAAACAGGGCTAATGGAGTTTCTCCAGTCCATTTGTGGTGATCTGTTCATCCATTTGAAAGGGGGAAAGCAAAGAGGGAATGGAGCTAGGTTTGGGCATGTGGTGGGAATGGAAGGGAGGGGAAAGAAGATGTAACCATGAAAGCCCTAGTGAGATCTTATCTCTCTAAATTCTAAAGAGAGAACACCCCCCCCCCCCAAAAAAAAAAAAAAAAAACAAAACAAAAAGAACCCCACCCTCTTCCCTTAAAATATGTCAAAACGGGCTTAAAAAGTGCAAAAAACTTGAAACTAAGCATCACACCAAATGATTCAAATAGACATTACAAAATCCCAAATAACTTTTTGTTTTGATTTTCATTTATTTGCTCATTTTTAGCAAGCAATTCCCAATTTCACAAGGAGCACAGTTGTTGTAAATTTTTCTTAACATTTTATTCTTTATTGATCAAATGAGTTAGTTAAATCCAAAGTTTTATATTCCTCTTTGAATGTTGGGATTTGGAGACTTAACTGATAGACCCATGCAAACCTCCTATCAAACATACACCAAGACCCAATAACAAAGAACTGACCTAAAACATGACCCAAAGATATCAACTACATATCAATGTCTCACAAAACCATTAGCCCAAAAATAAAAAAACTGAACAAGAAACTCATTAACCTAAGAACAAGAATTAATGCACAACAAATTGTCCAAGTGTCCAAGTAGCCCCACCATGAAATCACAACTTTTTCTCTTCTTAGGGTTTAATTGTTCATTAGAATTTTGTGGACAAAAAAAGGCCAATATCTTGTGCAATCCATTAGTTAACAAAATCGTACCAAACAAGTGCTAGTCACCTTCAAACCACCAAAGAAACTATGACGTTGATTCGGCACTATAGGGTTCAATTAAACTACATATGTTGCATCACTGTACCCTACTCCAATTCAATTTCGCATAAAGCATCTACATACCAACAAATTTAAGGCTACACACAAGGTAATTGTTTAAATAGACGAACCAAACAGAAAGTTTTTCCCAAAAAAGGAAAGAGAAGCTCAAAATGAAAAGAAACGTACCGCGAATTGATTACAGAGATCATAAGACTGAGGTTTCACAAATTTGTGCTCTCAGACACTTGCGCGGGGGGGGGGGGGGGGTGGAGCTTGCTATGTATGTGCTAGCTTTTTCAAGATTTCATCGACATATTGTTTTGATGGAATGGATGGAGTGAAAAGAAAAGAAAAATAAAAAAAGAAATAAAGGAGAGTAAAATCTCCCAAATCATTTGTTTGGGAGATTTTAAGGTGAGAGATGTCGGAAAAGTGGAGTTAAAAGGAAGTATATGTATTTGAGAACCTTAAAATGTAATTTTATTTTTTGTCATATTGACAAGAATACGTATGAGAAATTCCAATGGAGTACAAGCAATGATTCCCTAGTGCAAGAAGACCGCCACAAATTTAATGCGTAACGGAATATGACAAAGTATAGTAAGGTTAAATGGGGACCAGGGTTTGAATGGAGCGAGAGTGGTTCCATTTAATTAGAATCAATGCAAGGATCAATACTCATCGTTTTGCCTTGATATAAGCCATTTTTAAGATAAATTATGTCGCTTAGACCTTCAAATGAACAATGTTTCCATTTAGCAAAAGCTTTAGAAAAATTATAATTTGTTCTAGAAAATTAGGATTTAATTTTGTCAACTTTGACTCTTCTATAGAAAATTTGAATTTAATTTATTTTTCCAATAAAAGTACCAATCTTTCATACTAATTCTGGGTTTAACTAAAAATGTATCATAAATAATTCAATCCAAACAATATAAACATAGATCGTAACCCAAACCACAAATGAAAAAAAACTAAAAGAACATAATATCAAATCAAGAAAGTCATAACTTAACCAAATCAAATTGATATTGAACATTCCACAACTAAATAATGCAACTACTCTCAAATTGAATAAGGCGTACCGTCGTACCACCAAGAATCATCACATTAAACTAGAAATGAAGAAAAACCTTCGAACATTTCACAATTACCAAATCAATCAAATAAAGATTCACATTAAAACACACATACCAATGCATAGAAAATTAGAAATACAAATCTGTTCTGCCTCCAACCGAAAAAAAAAAAAAAAAGAAAACTAAAACAGTACATTTATCATGTAAACTCAATAAATTCAAAAAAAAAAAACCATCTTTCCAAAGGAAAATTAGAACTTAAATACTAATTACCCATACATGCGTCACTCAAGTGGACTGAGGGAGGAGAGAGCTTTGTTCTTTAAGAAAAGCTAATGTTTGAAAGCAATGCATAAAAAATAAATAATAAAATGAGCATCAACAATAGGAATGGCACACATCAAGCTAAATCAAACCAAATTTCAGAATATAACAATGAATACAAAATTCAAAAGGTTTTTAGAAGAGTTGACAATTAATATTTTCAATGATATAACAATGAATACAAACTTCAATGAATAATATTTTCCCAGCTACACCTAAAAAGAGAGGATCCAACGCAGTTAACAATTGTTTTTTCCTTCTCCCACATCCCACTTGGAAAGTTATAAAATTTATTTCCCATTCTTCCAACCTTCAATCCGCCACCTAGTTTCTCCTTTGACTTGGTCCCCGTGTCTTCCAGTAAAACACACTTACCCAATACAAAATTGGTAAGCCCACTATTTCTTCCACTACCCATTTATTTGTTATCTTAATCCCCACTGTTCTTCAATAATTCTTACCTTTCTAAAGAAATGCGAGACGCCATGTTCACGCCAGTGAATGCTTTATGAAAATAGGGGAAAGCTACCAATCAAAAGCGAAGAAAGTCGCCCCTCATGAGCACCGAAACCCATCTCCTACTCACCACCCACTAAATGTGATATAGAAAACAGAAAGTGGAGTACTCATTCTTCTAAAAATGTTTATCATTGAACCATCATATCAAATCCGACTAGAAAAATTAAAAAAAAAAATAGATTTAAGACACTCCTTGAGACATTTTATCGAACATTCATGGGGCTATGGTTCTGACTGTGGAGAGGAAAGAAAGGGGTGTAGGTTGGGCAGTGACGATGGCGATGGTAGTGGATGCGACGGTGACAGTGGTTGGCGGTGGTTAAGGGGGAGGAAGGGGCTGTGGGCTGGTCTCGGTTGGCTCTGGCGGTGGCAGTAGGGTGGGTTCAGAAGGGGTTGAAGGGGAGGAAAGGGGTGGATGTGGTGGCAGGAAATGGTGGTTCGCTGGTGGTGAGAGAGACGCAGGAAGAAAAGTAGATAGACAATATCCTGGGAGTGCGAGAGACAGAGAGGGAAGGAGAAAGAGATATACCTTCGATTAGAGAAATCGGGCGTCGGTGGGGGGTCGCCGGATCCGGTCTGTATCGCCGGATCTCGTTTCTGACGATACCCAAGAGAGTCCACCTGAGAGGGAGGGAGGGAGAGGGAGAGAGAGAGAGAAGGGGGGGGGGGGGGGTGCATTTAATATTTATTGAGTCATATTATTTGAATTTAAAAATATAATTTAATTTGTTGGCATAATTACTTAATTTTAATAAAATCGTTACATCAAAATTAAGTTCAATGTTTCATGAGTTTAACACTTAATCTAAAAATTATAGTAAATCAGTTTAATAAATTAAGTCTCATATTTATTATTTACTTGTGAGAGGGAGAGTTTATTGTCGGAAATCTAAAATTTGAAAATATAAAACGAACTGAACCATAAAAAAAAAATTATTTTTTATATTTTTTAATATTTAAAATGACTTATACAAATACAATGCACTTTATTATTATACACTATAATATTTCATTACTTTTAAATGAGCGGAGCGGACTAGTCCCCTCAAAGCGGAGGTTTTCTCTGCCCATGCAGTGTTTTTTTTCTTGGGTTTTTTCCTAATAGAAGTTTCGTTTAAGCCGCAGAATGTTATCAGTTATTAGGAACCTTAGGCTCACTCCTTCCTTTATTTTGTGTTTCTATCATGGTTACTTTTGATTATTAGTTACTAATTATTTTCTCTTACTCGATTTTCTTCTGTGTCATGAGATGTGTTTGTTGCAAGTTTTGAGTTCAGTCTGTAGTTTCTGTATGCACTTTGCCAGATTGGACAGCCTCTAGACTTCTCGGTTTGGGGTCTTCTTGTGTGACTGATGGAGGAGGAAATAGAGAGATTATGGTCCACTTTCAAGCTTCCTAAGGAGGAGCAGTTAGATCTAAATATTGGCAGCCAAGTAGATTGGCAGCCAAGTAGATGATGGTCTAGAGGATAAGGGTAGGTTTTGCTTGGTGGGCAGGCTTCATACAAGTAGATATTTTAATAGAACAATATTCAAAAGCACAATGAAGCAAGTATGACATGTTTTGCAAGTGAATTTTAGAGACCTTGGAGATAATTTGTTCTTGATCCAATTTCCTAGGTTGATGGACAGAAAAAGGGTGCTTGAAGGGATGTCATGGTCTTTTGATAACCACTTTCTCCTTCTTAAGGAGTATGTGGATAATATATCAGCGTCCAATATGTTATTCAAACAGTGTCCATTCTGGGTTCAAGTTTATAATCTACCATTCAATTGTATGAATCAAGGCATGGGAAAAATTATTGGGAATTTAGTTGGTGAATATATTGAGATTGCTCTCACTCAAGATGGGATTATTTGGGGTAGGTTTCTACGGGTTAGAATTTTGATTGATGTAAATAAAACACTTCTCCGGGGACTGATGGAACAAAGTACATTCTTTATTTTAAATATGAACGGTTACCGAATATTTGTTATTTCTGTGGTTGCCTTGGTCATGGGGAGAGGGACTGTGCAGTTCGACTGGGATCTCATGGCTCTAATCAAGGTCCTTTGTAATATGGACCATAGTTACAAGCAGTGGGGAAGAAGGCGAAGAAGGTGGTTCCACAACAGAAAATTTTTACTGAAATCTATCTTTTTGATAAACAAGGAACTAAGGTGGCCGGAGATATGGTGGAAGAACTGGTGATGGGCGGTGCAACTGATGTTCAATTTGATGATGATCCAATAAATGCAGAATTGGTGGGACACAGTTCCTTGATGTTAGGAGAGAAGGACAAACAGAAAGAGGCTGCGAAGGCAACGGTTGAAAGTGGGGGAGGTGGGTCTAAAACAGTTGAGTCTGAAGTTACAATGGAGAATTCATCAGATAATGTTTTTCAATGTAAGGATGGGCCTAATAGGTCTGATGGGCCAAAATTAACGGTGGCCCAAATGACAAATATGGGGCAGACGGGTATGACTAATTATTTGGGGGAAAATGAATGTTTCAGCCCACAAATTAAGGAAACTCATATAATTTTAGCAGGGAATGTCAATATGTCTGGGATTAACGGGAATCAGGTTCTTGCCGAAACACAGGAAAATGTTAAAATCAAAGGGAAAGGAGTTTTAGTGGAAAAAAATAAGGGCAGGAAAAATCTGAAAATATGGAAACGGAAAGCTAGGGATCCGATTGGCTCAAGTAAAACAGGGAAGAGGTCGATTGAGGGTGGGAAGCAGAAGATAGAATTTACGGTGGAAACAAAGGGTGCGGTTGTGCAGTCGGCGTCGAATAAGAGGGCTTTCTCTGATGAGGTATGTGCTAAGGATGACGCTTCAAAATTCAAGTTTACAACGACGGTGTCTAGTCTCCAGACCTGTTGATTGCCATGAAAATACTAAGTTGGAACTGCCGAGGAATTGGGCACTCTCGGACAGTTCAGTTTCTTCACGAATTTGTGAAGAAAGAAAGGCCCCATTTTTTTTTCTTGATGGAAACAAAATGTAAAACTGATGGTATTGAAAGATTGAAAAGCCGGTTGAGGATGCATGGGATTTCGGTTGATTCGTTGGGTCTATCGGGGGGTTGGCTTTGTTATGGCAGAGTGATGTAAATGTTTCTTTACAGAGTTTTTCTAGGGCACATATTGATGTAATTGTTGATGGAGATGATGAACAACACTGTTGGTGCTTCACTGGATTTTATGGAAACCCAGAGGTATCTAGAAGGTCAGAGTCCTAGTCTTTATTGCGTTTGCTTCGGTCACGTTGTGAGTTACCCTGGTTTTGTGATGGTGACTTCAAAGAAATTCTTACAAATAGTGAGAAGAAGGGTAGGAGGGAAAGACCATGTGGTCAGGTGAGAGATTTCAGAGATGCGTTGGATAACTGTGCATTGATGGATCTAGGATATGAGGGGTACCAATTTACATGGTGTAATAGTTGGTTGTATCCTTATATAGTTTGGGAGAGATTAAATAGGGCGTGTGCTACCACTGACTGGATTGATCTATTCCCGAATGTTGGGGTGTGCCACATTTTTAGTTGGGCTTCTAATCATTATGAGGTTCTTATAGACACAGAGGCAAGGAATCTGATGAATATTAATGCTCGACGCAGAAAGAAGTTTAGATTTGAGGCAGCTTGGGTTAAGAGAAGTGATTGTGAAGCTGTTATTAAGAATGCATGGGAGCCTAGGACATCACAGGTGGGTGCAAAAGGACTTATTCTGAATATCCAGAGTTGTCGGATGGGATTGCTTAAGTGGAAAAAAGAACATGTTGGTTTTGTCCCTGCTAAGATTGCGATGTTGAAAGAGAATCTTGCGCGTCTTCAAGAAGGAACAATTTCTGCAATTGTTAGATAACAACAAAGGTCTCTCCAAGTTGAAATGGATGAGCTAATGGATCATGAAGAATCTTACTGACGCCAAAGGTCTCGAATAAATTGGCTTCAAGATAGGGATACAAATTCTGCCTTTTTTCATGCCTGGGCCTCACAGAGGAGAAGAACGAACTGGATATGCAGGTTGAAAAACCAATATGGTGGTGTGCATCGCAGGAAGAAATTGGAAATGCTGCTGTTACATATTTTCAATCACTGTTCACATCAAGTAGACCACATAATCGAGATCTAGAGGTTGTTCTAAGCAAAGTGACAAGTAAGGTTACTGACGAAATGAATTCAAGATTACTGCAATGCTTTAGAGCAGATGTGGTAATGTTAGCTTTGTCGCAGATGTATCCAACCAAGTCCCCGGGGCCAGATGGAATGCCAGCACTTTTCTTTCAAAAGTATTGGCATGTGGTAGGGGTAGATGTCCTGAGTTGTATATTATCATTTCTCAATGGGGGTGATTTTCCTTCTAAGTTAAACTATACCCATATTGTTCTTATTCCCAAAGTCCAAAATCCCGAGTCTATGTCACAATTTCGACCTATTAGTCTATGTAATGTTCTTTATAAAATTATTTCTAAGGTCTTAGCTAATAGGTTGAAAATCATTCTTCTCTCAATTATTTCTGAAAATCAAAGTGCTTTTGTCCCAGGTCGGTTAATAACTGATAATGTTCTAGTGGCTTTTGAAATTAACCATTTTCTTAAATGCAAAAATTGGGGAAAAGAGGGTCATATTTCTTTGAAATTAGATATGAGTAAAGCATATGGTAGACTAGAATGGATTTTTTTGGAGAGAATGATGGGAGCTTTGGGCTTTGCTAATGGATGGATACGATTGATAATGCAATGTGTGGAGTCAGTCTCATATTCGATGATGTTGAATAATGAGCAAACTGGTTATTTTTTTCCTCAAAGGGGGATCCGGCAAGGAAACCCCTTATCCCCTTACCTTTTTCTTCTTTGCGCAGAGGGAATGTCAGCATTGCTTAAAGATGCTGAAAGAAGTGGTACTATCTCAAGGATTAGTGTGGGTCGTGGATGTCCTAGAATTTCACATCTCTTTTTTGCAAATGATAGTCTACTATTCATTAAGGATATACCTACGGAAGCGGCTGCAGTTAAGGAGGTTCTACAATTATATGAATTAGCTTCAGGTTAACAAATTTGCTTGGAAAAATCCGCTATGGATTGCCATCTGTGGTGGGTAAGTCTAAGAAGGAGGTATTTGCTAGTTTGAGGGAGCGAGTTTGGCAGAAGCTACAAGGATGGAAAGATAGGTTATTATCAAGGGGAGGCAAAGAAATATTAATTAAAGCAGTGGTCTAGTCAATTCCGACATATGCTATGGGATGCTTTAAGCTTCCAGAATATTTGTGCAATGATTTGGAGTCTTTAGCTTCCAATTTCTTGTGGGGTCAAAAGGAAAGGGAGAGGAATATTCATTGGGTAAAGTGGGCTAAGATGTGTAAGGGCAAAAATCAAGGCGGTATGGGTTTCAGGGACTTGAGAACCTTTAATATGGCGATGCTTGCCAAACAAGCATGGAGAATCCTTCATGATACTGATTCTCTGCTTCACAAGGTCTTGAAAGTGAAATATTTCCCGCCAACATCATTTATGAGTGCCAAGTTGGGGTATAGGCCATCATACACATGGCGGAGCATTTTAGAGGCTGAAAAAGTGATTGAAGCTGGTTCGCGATGGAGGATTGGTGATGGTCCCAAAATTAAAGTGTGGCATGATAGGTGGATTCCAACACCCACTACTTTCAAAGTGGTGAGTCTTAAGCAATTGGTAGAGGAGGAGGCTACTGTCAACTACCTCATTGATCCCCAAACACGCTGTTGGAAAACACAGTTGATTGATGAGGTTTTTTTGGAGCATGAAGCTGAGATAATTAAACGGATTTCATTGGGAGTTTATCCGTTGGAAGATAAATTAATATGGCACTACAACAAAAATGGTAAATTTTCTGTAAGGAGTGCATATCATTTGGCTTATGAGAGTAATCTATTTTCACGGGGAATATCTAATGCAAGTTCTTCATCGACTCCTGATGGCAATTGGAAAGCACTATGGAATCAGCGAGTTCCAAGTGAAGTTAAGATTTTTGCTTGGAGAATGCTATTGGATGTTCTCCCTACAAATGAGAATTTAAGGCGTAGGAAGATTTGTTCGAATAGTGTGTGCTGTGTATGCGGAATGGAGAATGAGTCTATTTTACATGTTTCAAAGGACTTTTCTTGGGCAAAGAAATCCTGGGAGGGTAGCCCATTGAGCCACAGGGTTCAACGACCTGCAAACTATATCCAACAATGGTTTTGGGAGGTCACTCGGCAACTAAAGCCCAAGTTATTTTTGCTAACTACATTGCTAGTTTATTTGGTGGAATAGGAATGAATTTCTGTTCCAGAACTTGGAGAATGACCCGAGGCTGATAGTGCAAACTGTAACGGGTTATCTTGACCAGTTTGAGAAGTATATGGAGGTGGACTTCATGCAAAACAGTGTATCAGATCCTATTCGGTGGTCTCCCCTAAGCTCAGGTACTTTTAGGGTAAATTTTGATGGGGTAGTATTTAATTCTGAAGGGTTAGTGGGAGTGGGTGTTGTTATAAGGAATGATTCTGGGTTATTTATTGCGGGAATGTCGAAGAAAATAAGTGTGGTATATGATGCGCAAACAACAGAGAGTATTGCTGCAAGGGAGGCTTTGTTATTTGCTAGGCAGATGGATTGTGAGGAGATCACGCTGGAAGGGGATTCATCCTCTGTGATGAAGATGATAGTTGATTCTCAGGAGGATTTTTCTCCTTTGGGATCTGTTATAGCGGATATTAGGTGTATTATACATACTTTTAGTTCTTTCTCTGCTTTTACTATTAGACGTACTGGGAATGGTGCTACGCACCATCTTGCTAGAATAGCTAGATGTTATGAACATTTTCATGTATGGGAGGATATGGCACCAGAGTCTTTGGTACCAATTCTCTGTTCAAATGTTTCTAATTAATACATTATATTGTTTATGTCAAAAAAAAAAATGAGCGGAGCGGCGTATAAACTGCGTTTACATGCGGAAAAGTGAACGAAAAATTCACATTACATGTTTTTTTTTAATGGAAAACTTTATTCACGTCCCCTCTAAATACCGTATCTTCAAAGGTATCTCATGTATTATCTGAAACTTCACTGACACCCCTTATCAGAGTTTGCCTTCAAACAGGAGAAGTATTGGAAGTTAGGGGTCGTTTGATAACATTTTTGTTTTCTCGTCTTAAAAAAAATTAAAAACAAAGATAATTTTTGTCTCTATTATGTGATAAACACTAAAACAAAAAACATGTTTGAGAGTCATTTTTGTCTATCAAATTATGAGAATAAAAATAAAAAATATGTTTGGTATCACTTCAAATTTTATCCTAAATATGTTTGATATCATACTTTTTTTGGCAAAAGTATAGTCTGGTGCAACACATGCAACCACAACACATAACCAAAGGGCAATAAACAAACCAATAAACATAACTCTAACCTTCTTATTCATTGAATATCCAAATGCTTCACCAAAGTCACAAGCTTGACTTGTAGCTCGAGTTTTATTTTTCATCCTATAGCACATTTGAACTGAGATAAATCATACAAATAGCAGTAAATTGAGTACTTATATGTCAAGCTTGAACTCATTCCCATAGCTTCAGCAGCATTACCTTCTAAGCCCATATGCAGACAGAGCTACAACTATAATCTCTCATGTATGCCTAAATATAATATGTATAAACTAATTTAAAGTAATTAGGGCATACCAACCAAGTAATGCCCCCGAAAGCAATTGACTCATCGAAATCAAATTCGTTGCCAAAAAAATAAGGAAGGCCAAAAAAATTTGTTTGATATCTAAAAATATGTTTGGTGCCCACACAAGCGCACAGATCTGTGTATATATGCACAGAATTGCGCATATATATGCACAACTTTTGGGTTTCA